AGTATAATGCTAATTTGTGATTCTAAAAGTGCCAATGTTAAGAAAATATAAATAAAAAATTTAAATTGAAAAAAAAATCAATTATGAACTGTTAACCAAATCAATACACAATTTTCATACACAAATTTTTTCACAAGTTTAGATTACCCCTATTGTGAGTAAAAAAATTATATACGCTCTTGGATTCCGAGAAGGTTTGAAATTCAGTAACTAAATTGAATACCTCTATTAGAAATTCACATTTTGCTACCGGTAAGTGTACAAACCCCTTTTTTGTTTAATCAGAACTTGTAATTTTAATCCAAAGCTCAATTTTTCGTTTTAATCTATCTTCTTTTAATTTTTGAAAACCTGGGTTTTTTATCTTTGTTTTCAATTTTGGTATGAATATCAAATTAGTTAGAGTAGCATAGCCTACAAAGTGTTTGATGAAATGTTCGTGTTGGTGATGGAGTTTCAAATTGTCAGGAAATGAAGAAAGGAGTGCACCCATAAAAGCAATGTAATACACTTTTGTAAAATACACATCTATTGCAATAATGGAAGTTTATTATATAAATCAGAGAGATTGACTTTTTATTGCACGAAATGTGATATTATTGCATAGATGTCTATACGTTTATTTCAAATTAACTGTAGTTAATGCAATAAAAATTTAAATTATCAATTATTTCAAATAATACACATGGAGTTACTTAATACACTTTCGATATCTATGCATTGATATTATTATTTTTAATAATAAAGGTGTTATTTAATGGAGTTACTTAATATCTATTAAATGTATAGATATTTGTAAATCAGTGAAATAATGTCACATTTCGTGCAATAAAATCTCTATTGTAGTTAACTCCATATGTATTAGACATAAAATACACTTTTATTGTCAGTGAATATCAATGTCTATTACATAACACTTTTATAATGTCTATTACATAACACTTTTATTAGACATTAAATATTTATGCGTTAACAAAAAATAATATCTTCATAGTATACACGAATATAATTCTTTATAGTATAAGTCTTAACAGAAATTAGCAGTTCATAATATAATTCTTCATAGAATACACAAATTAGCAGTTCTTAACATGTTTAATAAATTCATTCAATTATATTTAAAAAAATATACCTGACAAAAAATGAATTATCTTGATAATGAAGTAATGCACCACTCCTTTCACTGCAATAATGGAGTTACTTAAGGCTTGACAAAGTAAGAGAGAAAGAGAAATAATTAAAATGGATTGACAGAGAAAGAGAGAAAGAGAAATAATTAATAACTAAATAGAAGTTAGCAAAGAGGAGGAATATAACTTCCTAATCTATTAATCGTAACTGCAATAATGGATTGAACTTAGTTTTGCAAAAAGGGTGGTCGAATTGAAATTGGTGGAGAGTTATTTTTCTACAGTTATCATTTAGTGTTATTAAATAAATGATTTTGTGAGAATTTTAAATATTATGTAAGGGGCAAATATGGAAGAAAAAAATATATCACTTCAAAAGATAGTATCCCCTTTATATATAGATATAGATTATAGGTTTATGGTGTGTTTGAAATGTATCATTTTTCAAAATTTAAATTTGAACAACTGCTCTGTTTTTATTTATAACTGTTGTTTTCACTCTACTATGGAATTATAATTATTGCATGTATTAGTTTCATTTATATATTTGTAACTTCTCAACACGTGACTTTTTAGTAAATATAAAAGTCATTAAAGTGTGATTTTTGTAGAAAAATAGATCAGCACAAAACTATCTATCCCCTTTATATATACTAGTGTACGTGTCCGTCTGTCCGCTTTCTCTAATACTGATTTTTATAAAATATAATCTGTATTATATTTTAATTTAATTTTAAATTATTTATAAAATAGTTAAAGATAATGATATGAAAAATAATAAACTGACGTGTAACCGCCGTTGTAGGAAAGAGAAGTTAAGATTTAAAATAAAAACTGAAAATGGTAAATTTAGAAAAAAAAATGCTACACCAAAATCATGTTTTTCTTTTATATATTAGTATAGATATAATTATATATATTATAATTTAGAAATATCTATCTAAATTGTAATGACAAATTATCGTAGATACATAATTTGTCAAAATTAAAATAGTAAGTTCAATTATTACGTTAGTGTAATAGTTGTATTTCTAGTAGTATAAATACTACATTTGCCTAATATAAAAACACACCAAAAATTTACTTTGAAAACATAAGTAAAGCATTCTCCCTTCTTCAATCTTTTTCATCTAATCTTGATATTTATAACTAGTTTAGTAACTTATATTAGTTCATAGATATTAACAAATATTCAAAATTGGTTTTTCTCAATACGTTATCAGCACAATCGTTTATATCGAAAATTATTACTACACTAGGTATATCTTTTAAACTTTTCACTTTAATCTCATTATTACTATAATTTTTATTATTTACCATGGTTATAGAAAATTGGCAATTAGTCAATTGATTTATAATTATAATGACTT